CATACTACGGTCACATTTAATTGTTTCATGGCTTGTTATCTTGTTATTAATCTTTTCCACTTCTGCTCTTTCTTCCAGTTTTCCTTTTTGTCACTATAAAAGCTTTTCTTCTCCCAACCTACCTTTCTTTCTTTGTTTCTTTGTTTCTTTGTTTCTTTGTTTCTTTGTTTGTTTCTTTCTTTCTTTCTTTCTTTCTTTCTTTCTTTCTTTCTTTCTTTCTTTCTTTCTTTCTTTCTTTCTTTCTTCCATCACTTTTTAAAAGATATTTTTACTCTCATTTGCTGATATTAATCACAAATGAAGCTAATGACTTTGATTTGCCGTCTTTGCCTTCCTCTCTGCCATTTATTTTCCATTATTCCAATAAGAGCTTCTGTCCCTACCATATACCATTGTTAAACCCATGCCTTGTATAAAATTATCATTATGAATTATGTTTCCAGTCCTGTCTGGATGAATGTGTTTTAAACTCACTAATGTGGAATATTATTATGAAAGATAAATACAGCAGCTGTATCACTTTAAATGCACTGATAATAACTGTTTATTTATTATGGAATGTTTTCCTGAGAGCAGAGTTCAACAGTTAATTCCTTATTTCCTCATCCATCATATATCTGATCCTCCATCCAAAATGGTCTTATTACATCCCATGGCTACTGGTCCTTCACCTTCAATAGGGTCAACAGTAAGAACTCTATCATGAGTGGTCATAAGAAGCTGCATACATCGTATCATGGATTCCTTATAACTTCATAGTGCTGCTGAGGGAAAGAGCCGTAAGCTCCATCTGAAATGTTCTAATTGGTGAAGACCCTTTAGCCAAATTGGGAGTGTGTAATTGGTACAGTCTGAGTGGTGCTGGCAGAAAAGAAGCAGAAAGAAGCGGAGTCTTTATGCCTCCTATCATAGTTCCATTAACATGAGAGCTGGTGAAGTCTCTCATTAGCACCCAGAACCTATAAAAAATCCCACAATATTTGGGGAGACATGGTAAATAAGCACAGACCAGTTTAGGGACATAAACAAAAATACATAATTGTGTTGGGACACAATTATGTATTTGTATGGACTGTATGGACTGACTGTATGTATGGACTGTAGGGACACATACTAGTGTCCATTTACATTTGTGTAATTCAGTGTTTTTGTAGTTGTTTTTCTGAAGGCTATTCTCTGATTTGACTGATATGGGGCTACAACAAGGATGCAAAGTGTCAGCAACATGGAGAGGACATCTGGCCAATGACTGAGTGTTTGACTACATAAACTTCAGAATAGATAACACCATACCCACCAGAACAGGGTTATGGTTCCCTAATAATAAAGCATGGATTACCACTGACTGCTAAATAAGAAAAAAAGAGTCTTCAGGAGGGGAGAAAGTTAATTATTGAGGAGTATACAGAAGCAACTTCAAGACAAGACAAGAGAAAGCAAGGAGGTGAACAGGAAGAGGCTGGAAAACAAGTTACAGTAGAACAATATCAGTGATTTAAGGTCAGGGATGAAGAGGCTCACAAACTGCAAGCAGAAGGATGATCAGACACATGGAAGTCTGGACACAGCGATGAACGGCATCTTTCTCTCCTTCCCACAGTCAGATGGACATCCTGCCCTCCTCTGCCATTGACTCTCCTGCTTCTATACTTTTGTTCTCAGCCAAATCAGAAGATGGCGTTTCTCCCTCCATTGTTCACCTGTCTGTCATTAGTAGTCAAGTGAAGAGTTAACTGGAGAGACTGAATCATAATAAATCATCAGAATCCTGAAGTCCTATGTGGAGCAGCACTGAATGATTATACAACACCCTTTCAACCTCAGCCTGACCCAAGAGACAGTTCCAGGTTTGTAGAAGACCTCCTGCCTTCTTTCAGTAAGAAAAGTCAGCCAACACTCCTCAGTGACTGTAGACCTGTTTTTCTGACATCTCACTTCATGAAGGTCCTAGAGAGACTTCTGTTGGTCCATCTGAGGAAGAAAAGAAAAACAGCTTATGTCCTTCAGCAATTATCCACATATCTTCTATCAGTCTATGCTTTAGAGTGCGGTCTCTTCTGCCATCATCTGCTGGGATAACAGCATAAGAGAAAATGACTTAAAAAAGCTTAACGAGCTAATAAAGATAGATGACTGTTCCAGGAATTCCTCTGAGGTGATTTCACAAACAATTCCTCATAAAGTGAAGAACATTATGGAGAACAGCGAGCATCCTCTTCATCAGACGGTTTAACATCAACAGAGTGTCATCAGTCAGAGGCTCCTCCAGATCCGGTGTAATAGAGACCGCTACAGAAGATCCTTCTTGCCTGCAACATTCATCTGCAACTGGATGAAAAATATAAAAAATAAAGTTATTTTTGAATGGAATAATTAAACCACCCATCTTAAACCAGTATTACCATATTTTAGAACCATGTTAAAAAAAAAAACATAAAGTTACTGAAGGAGGATTGTTCAATATTGGTCCATCTTGTCTCTGTACTAAATACTTCTGCTTATATTTGACTGACTGACTGACTGACTGACTGACTGACTGACTGACTGACTGACTGACTGACTGACTGACTTGCTGGCTGGCTGGCTGGCAAGTAGGTAGGTACAGTAGTTACATGGGAGGATGAGCAGGAGGCTGGGCAGTCGGTCGAGAAATACCAGACTAATTTATATTCATATCCAATATTTGGTAAATACTGCTCTACTCTTATGATTGTACCCAACCATTTTTAAGATGTGTTCTCTATTTGTCATAATAAAGCTCTACAAAATGTCTCACCTCTGTAGCTACCCTCTGAAGATCACCTGGGCCCACAGTCCAGCCAGGATACACTGCCACTGTGTTCTCCACCGAGGGCAGGACAGAAATCCTTGAACAAAGGTGGAGGAAACAAATTCATCTTTAGTCTCTAGACAAAACAAGAAAAGTTCAACTGTTACCTGATCCTCCGTATGCTGCCTGAACTGCTGCATGATTCTCTAGGTTGGTGTTTGGAGCTAGCTGAAGCGGCATGATGGGATGGAAGGTTACAAAGCCTCCAGCTTCCATCACAGTGATGGGACAGAGCTCCGCTGAGTCTGATGGTTTCAAAATATTGAGCAGGTGAAAATGTTTCTGACAGCTCAGGTGTGGAAGGTCCAGCTCACTGAGCTTGTTTTGAGAGTCGGACAAGAAATATCTTACCTGTAGGGAGGAGATTTCACCAGCGGCATGAAAGCAGTGAACAAAGTGTGCATTTAAATATTGAATCTGGACCATACATCCCCTTTGGAGACAGAGCTTAACAAGCAGAGGTTACAAGTCTACCTAGATTAGGGAATAAGAAGTCCTACAATCCATTGTCAGCCCAATCATTACTCAACCCTCATGAGTAATGATTGGGTTGACGTGTTGACATGTCATGTCCTGGTTTTGGTCCACCTTGCTGAATTCCATGAAACATGTCGATCTCCCAGGATATTTTGGTGGTATCCTCTTCTGACGCACCTCATTGAGATACTGTTTTAATTTTCCAGCTTGACTCAGCACCTAAAACTCTCATGAACCAAAAACTGCTTCAGTGACCATGGTGTTACTGAAGCAGATTTGGATTCATCTACGGAGCACAGTCAGGAAAAGATGAGATACACTAGATACAAAAATACAGAGATAAGCCTCTGTTCATCCATGACATGCTGTGTTCATGTATAGTTCATATAAAAGGAAGCCCAGACAAGTACTGAGTAAAGAGAAATATTCTTTTTAAAATCCTTATATTTCTGTTTGAATGATCATTATTTGCTGATATGCAAAGGTGTAACGTATCTGTTAGGAATAATAATCAAAAACCAAAAAGAACATAAATGGAATATTTCACTATCTTTAATGAATTTACAGAAAAATGGATTTCACTTTTTAAAATGAGTGACAAAAATATTGAACTTTTCCAAAATATGTTGTTTTTTTAGATCTACTTCTATCAGACAAGTTCTGAAGGTTCTGAAATAGTTTGAAGACAAAAGACAAGCTAACAAATATCCCAACATGAACATCTGACCAGTACATGGCTCAATGCACGCCCTCCCTGAGAGTAATTCTATTGGCATATTTGAAAAAGTGAAACCTGTTCTGTTTTCCTGCTTAGATTAATAACAGCTATGTCCACCCTAACAACAGACTTAGTTAGAGAAAAGGGAGATTCATTCAGTGCCCTAAAATCACTCGGTGGTTAAATGATTCTGATTATTTCTCTGATGGACAACAGGGGTCCTTTTACAAAATGTCACATGTTTCTGTAATCTTCTGTAAATGCTTTAGTCCAGACAGAAGATGGACAGGGTCAAAATGTCCCGCAATATCCTAAAGAACTTCAGTTTAAACCTGGAACACACTGTTACTGCTGGATGATTAAGATTTCTGTCCTGCAGACTTTCTCCGCCTTTATTTTGTGGTAGAAGTCAATGAGGGCTTTAGAAGACCAGAAGAATGTTCACAAAGTAGCTGCATGATCTAAACCTTATGATCATTTGACAAATTTTAATATCAGACAGATCAAATATAAGAAGATATTCAAACTTGTGCAAAAAAAGAATACTCTTCTATTTTTAATAATTAATTGATTGATTGCTTTAACAGTTAATTGAAAGGTTTAAAAAGAACAAAGTTAGGGTTGTAGTGGCCTAGTTAAAACCTAAAAGTGGTCCAAAACTGGCTGGATAGGTGCTGGTGCCACCAAGAAGGCTAGAACCAAATTAGAATTATACTAGAATAAATTAATTTTTCCTCCAGTCGATTTGGAAATATTTCTCTGTCTGTTATTAAAATATATTTGATGATCTGAAACATTTAAGTGTTGAAAAAAAGAAAAAAGAAATCTGTACAAGGAAAGCAATTTTTCATGGTGTTAAATGTAAAAAAAAAAAAAAAAGAAAGAAATCAGCAGCAATAAAATTAAGGATTAGGAAAGAAAGTACATTTTGTAGGTTTTGAAATGCTTTTTGTGTAAAAAAAAAAAAAACGGGCTGTAGTTTTAGTGTTTTTTTTTTACATTTAACTTGTTTTGACTTGGTGTAAAAAAGACTTTAAGGCACAATGACATCCTAGAATTATTTAGAAAAAATAAATTCAGTTATTAGGAAATGTCAGTCAATCTGGGTTCTGTGTCGTTACAGAAAAATTAAATCTTTAAAAAGTGAATGAGACTTTTGCACATGGATCCTTCAAAGACAATACATGGAAATCAAAAGTGAAGACATCAAACAGACAGTGAGCATTTTCACTTGAATGTTAGAGAAAAAGCTTAATTTTTCAGGCTCACAGATCAGACTCCATGGTGGAAAAGCATGTCTGAGCATACAAACTAACATGTTTTAAAAAAGCAAACAGAACACCAATCTTCGCATGTTCAGAAAAGGCAGTTTCATGAACTGCTGAAGAAACCGTTTCTGCCAGATGAGCGGTCAGTCCATTCTGAAGGACTGGCGATCTCAATAGGGTCAATCTGAGGAAAGACCACAAAACACAGCCTCTGGCCCACTGATGTAGCCCAAGCTGGAGAGAAACAGGTCACAGAGTTTCATGTTAGCTACACTGGATAGAGCAACAGTTAAATGTTTTAGTTTCCAGAAACCCACCAGTAAAGTTGTAGACACACTTTGGTTTTACTTTCCAGTGGACACCAAGGAAATAGACGGGCACACCAGTAAGCATGATTACCAAACCAACACCACAGACGACTGGCTCTGAGTACAGGCTAAATCCAAGAAGCAATGCCCAGAACATCAGATAGGAAACAGGAACTAGGAGGTTTACCTGGGGGAGCATACACACATTTATTAAGGTCTTCTTGTATCAGCAGAAGACAAAGATACTTGCAAAGATGGTGAAATTGGTTGGACCTCACGATTAAGTAAGAATTAGAGCCACATGTTGTCATTCTGTATATCCTCATGTGAGTTTGTGTTTTTTACAAAGCAAACCTCTAGATAACACTTTTCTAAATTAGCTTCTACATATAGAACAGAAAAAAATAGTCAGTTTTCAGAAATCTTTGAAGCCTGGATCTTATAAGATGTTTTGACTGGTAATTTGTACCGTACATACATTGTTCCCCCGGATGATCTCAAGTGAGGAGAAACATGTTTTTCAAAGAGACATGCAGGTTGAACTTAAATCTGCAAGAGGCATGAATATTCATGAGCTTAAAGGTATAGAAGATGATATTTTATTTCCGGATGGATCATCTAAATAAGTGGTCCTCCTAATTGTCAATCATTCTCGTCCAATCAGGTCCTATGTGCTCGTTCCGTTAGCTATCTTTTTCTGCACATGCGCACCTTTAGCCGCATATGTGTGGTGAGCGACGGTTTCAGACAGTTATTAAAGCGCACCTTTCTAACTGCGGTTCTTTAAAAATGGCCAAGGTTTCGTAAGAGAAAATTTTCGTAAGGCCTCAGAAGAGGCAGATATATCTCGGAATGCTTTGCGCAGAGAGCTCTCCTTGCAAAGCATTATGGGATTTGCTGTCACAGCAGCCCCCTGTCGCCAAAGGCTGTCACTACACGACAGCTGCGACTAATAACAAAGACACAGGCATTGCGCATTGAAGGAGGAGTTACATTAACTGCGAAGCAAAAGCAGTGATTAAGGTCAATTAACTGAGTTTGGTTCAAATCCAGCCTGTGGTCCTTTGCAGCATGTCTTACTCATACCCCCTTTCCTGTTAGCCTACTTAAAAAAAAACGAGCCACTAGTGCCGTAAAAAAGAAAAAGAAAAGTGTCTACAAAGTGTACGAAAAGAAGAGGCAGAAGAAGAGGCAGATATGTCCTGGAATGCTTTGCGTGGAGAGCTCTCCTTGCAAAGCATTATGGGATTCGCTGTCACAGCGGCCTACTGTTGCCATAGGCCAGGCATCCCCAAAGTCGGTCCTCGAGTGCCGCTGTCCTGCAAGTTTTAGAGGTTTCCTTGCTCCAGCACAGATGATTTATATTGATAGTTGATTAACAGGCTTTTGCTGAACTGCAATCTTCATAATCAGCTGTGCTAAAGCAGAGAAACCTCTAAAACCTGAAGGACAGCGGCCTCGAGGGCCGACTTTGGGGATGCCTGCTATAGGCTGTCACTACCCGACAGCGGCGACTAATAACAAAGAGAGCTATGAGAACAGCAACTTTTAAACATATTATGCATGAGAAGAAATGGGCTCGTGCATGCTCTCGCATGCACATTTCTTTTTTTATATTTGAAAAAAAAAAATTTGCGAAAATCCTCCACAATACCTTTAACTCTACATTCAAAAATCCATCCAACCCATTTCTGTTCAGTCATTACAGGTTTGTGACTACTTCCTTATTGAGTTGTTTTTATTATACCTTAATAGGACGATATAAGTTAGGTTTCTTCCACCGATAGAACAGCAGACCTGCTATAGTGACACCATATGACAAATAGTTGATAAAGGAGACGTAGTTGATCAGGTTGTGTGTTTCTCCGATGCACAGTATAACAATTGTGGCCGCACACTGTGAAAAAACAACAGGAGTAGTTTACTTATTCAGACTAAAAGAAATTAACAATATCGTGAAAGTTCAGTTTATCAGTTTAATGACAATGCAGAAAATGTGGTTTTATATGAAATGTAACCAATGAATGAATGAATAAAAAAGAATTAAGCACAAAATAGTATGTAGATGGAAAACCTCCATTAAAAAAATGGAAACCAGCTCCAATTTGACCTCTTAGTTGTATAGGTGCATTCATCACGTGGGAGATTGAAGGTGTAATTCATCGATTTCTACAAAACAAACCTGACAATCTACCTAAAAGAAACATACATTCCCGTCTCAGTTTGCTCCCACCTCATCCATTGCTTTCATTTCAATTGCCAAGTTCTCAGCTCACACTAACTCTTTACAAATTATTTCCCTAATCTCCAGATCCAACAGACTACCTGTTGGATTACAACAACCTCTTTTCATACCCAAATTGGCCAGACATTATCATCCACTGGACTCCTGGTCTCTCCAGGCATGACCACCATTTTTACCATTGTCAACAGGTACTGCCATCTAATAACATCTAACACCTCTTCGAAAGTTACCTTCTGCTTTCCAGACAGCCCAGCTCCTAGTAAATCAGGCTTTCTGGATACTCTGCATAACCCAAGATATGCTCATAGACTTCACCACATGGATGCATCACCTCAAATGTATCAACCACACCAAGAGACTGAATCAAGAGCTGGAATCCACTCTCAGATGTTAAAAATCCACTAACCCATCTGAATGTGGGGTAAGTTCCTACATTGGGTGGAGTGCACCCATAAACACTCCTATGTCTGCAGCTACAGGTCTGTCTCCATTCAAAAGCTCCATGGGTTATCAACCACCACTTTTTTCAATACATGAGAAAGAAATATCCATCAGTTCTGTCCAACTTCTGTGCTTTCCAATACACAGCAGACCAGAATTGCTAGAATGCAAACAGAAAATGGATTCCAGCACCACAGTATTCTCCTTTTAACCTGGAGAATACTGCGGTGCAGGAATCCTCCGGAGATATTCCTATGAAATAGATTTTTAAGAATCACGTCCCTCATTACATTGGTCCACATAAAATTTAACCTTTGGACAGCTCTACTGTAGTCAGTCTTCGCCAACCATCCAGCCATCCTCCGTTTTCACCTCACTTTTCACCCACAGACACACTGATATACTTCAGAATCTCTGCAGAATAAAAACTGGAGACCCCCGGTTCAAAACGGGAGCCACCTCCAAAGGTGGTGGAGAATGACAGAGCTAAGATCATGTTGGAATTCCAGATAGAAACAAACTTAATCTTTGTGGCCAACCAACCAGACATTGTGATCATTGGACAGCTGTAGTGACGGATATAGACATCCCAAATGATGGAAACATCAGGGAGAAAGAACATGAGAAATTAGTAAAATACCAAGGGCTCAGGGAAGTACTAGAAAGGGCCTGGAAGGGGAAGGCATCTGTAGTGCCAGTGGTCATCGGAGCACTGGTCATCAGACCTAGGCAGTAACCACTACACTGGAGAAGCGGCTCCAAGAAACACCTGGAGAAACATCAAAGATCTCAGTCCAGAAATGTTCTAGGGACCGCTAAGATACTGTGAAGAAGCTCCCAGGCCTCTGGTAGGGAACCATAGGAACAACCCATCCCACCCCGGAATACAAGGGGCAAGTGAGAAAGTATTTCTTTAGATATACTTGTCGTCTTCAGCTCAATGACACTGCTGTTGGGACCAGGTCGCAGGGACAGCAGTCTAGACTTCCAGACTTCCCTCTCCCCACACACCACCTCCAGCCATTCCCTCCTCTGGGGTAAGCCCAAAGCACTGCAAGGCCATTCCAGGCAGCGAACAAATCTGCAGCATAAGTTATACTTATGAGGTGTACCCAGGAAAGTGGCTGGTGAATGTATATGGATGCAGATGAGCGCAGTTTATGTACAAAAAGTTATTACTGGACATGCAAACTGAGAAACATTCACTGAAACTTATAATGTGACTGTGTTACTATACATACGCAAACGAGGAGGGCAGGGATGGGCGTACATTTCTTGTAGTGTATCATAGCAAGCAGGCTGGGTAGATGGCCCTCTCTGGCTCCTGAGAAACACAACCTACAAAATCACACAGACCATCAGCCGCTGTGGTTAAGGTGCATCAGAAGTCAGATTAGGTTGAGAATGCAGTGAAACGGACCTTGAAGAAGTAAACAGGTAACCATTGATTCCCCCAAAGGTGGACAGAGCCACTGAAATCGGCATAATAATAGCGAAGACTCCAAGCAGCTTTTCACCAAATGTCTGAGTAGAAAAACAGCAATTAGGGAAACCTGGAGAGCGAGCAGGAGAGTTGCTATGAGCCTCACAGGATTACAACATTTTTTGTATATTGTTTAGAAAATTGCCAAGTTTTTAAAACAATGTTTATCAAACAAATTTAAAGATAAAAAAATTTAGTATTTTCTAAAGGACAGATGTATCCTGATATGCAGAGATTTAGGAATGTTTACAGATCTATTTGAGAATTTGGTTTATTAAGCATTAATAACTGAATAAGTTTAAACTGATGTGATTATCTTCTTATTAGGAAAACACTTGTTAAATGTCTAAACAGTCACTTCTGACACCACATAAGAACAAAATATGTGCCATTTTGTGTTGCAAAAAAAATAACAATTCTTATAAACTAACAATACTTATCTTTCCCAATAGTAAAATATTACTACTTCCATATTTTGTTGGTTCGAATTGAGGCTTCTTGAATGTGCCCTCCTTTTGATAGGGGATCCAAATTCTAACTGGTACCTATATTTGTACAAGACCCCCAACTTAAATGTTGCTGCATGTTATTCTGAGTGTGGATATTTAATAAGATTAAGGATTACTAAAGCTTGTGTAATTCAGTACATACTACTGTCAAATATTTTCTGGTCAGCTCACATTGAACTGCTTGCCTGTTTCTGGCCATGTTGTTTATCAGGACTGCACAATTGTGTTATTTTAGCAATAGCATGCATACTCAGCTTCTAAAATTATAAGTTCAGTTGTTGCTAAGCTACAAATACAATCGAAACAACACTTTAATTCATCTTTTGTAATATCCATTGATTTGACCATCAAGCTCACTATACTCACTATTATACTTCCACCTGTTTTAACAGTTTGTTAGTTGCTCTGCAAAAGAAGGCAAAACTTTGTATCTGTTCTGTACAGATGCAATGGATGCATACCATTCTCTTGGCAAATCGGATCATCATTTTTTTTCTCTGATAAATGTATGAGTCAGTCTGCTATTAAAAAAGCAGTGAAAAGATAGTCACAAGTAACCCAAGACATTGTTATATATTATAATTCTACTCCAAGGAATTTGAGTCACATATTTTGTTATAGTATACCAAGAACGGTTGTCATTTCTTTTGAAACTGTTAATTTGGTTTTTGGAGTGTACGTCTTTTTACTTTAACTGGAGAAATTACCAAACATCATGCACCCAGAGTGAATGTTTTGTGGGTGTGGGGGCTCTTCAATTTGAAAAAAAAAAAAAAAAAAAAAATGGTGTGCTAATATTGTAGAAAATTCTATCAGTTCAAATTGACTTTTTGAAATTTAATCACTCCCAAAAAATGTATTGAACATCTCCAAAAAGATTATGACCACTCTGGGACATGAGCAATTTAGATAATCCGTAAGTGATTTAAGTCGTTAAATTGAAATAATTTTGCCTAACATCTCTGCAATTGGGTCCTCAACCAACCTCCACCTAATGTGACACATAGGGGGTCCCCCTGTCCTTAACACTACTAGCTGTGGTCATTGCAGGGACAGTACCTTGAATCAAGTGATCTGGCCTACTGGGCTCCAATAAGCCTTAAAAATATATATAAATATTAAGGGGTGTCCTTGGCATTACTACCAGCATGCATGCTTCAATATTGCTAAAAGCTGAGCTAACTGCCAAGTCCTGGCCACCACTACTTAGCCCCACGCCTCAGGGTTTCTTGGCTTCAACTACTTTGTTGGCATTTGCTGGCATATGTCTGGGGCCGAGGTTTAGTTTTTAAAACTGGATGAGTGACACATTAATTTGATTGTTTCTGGCAAACTAAATGAATGCCTTAAAACCTTTATTTTAAAATCACTGATGGGTGACATTACTCACAACAGCAACAGCATTGGAGGAAAGCAGCTCCTCAGGTGACATGGAGGAAAAGTAGGCGATGTTGGTGAGTGTGTACACAAAAGTCACCAATGGAATGGAGATGTAGATGGCACGAGGTAGATTCCTTACCGGGTCCACACCATGCAAAGATGATACAGTTAATAAAAAAAATAAATAAATAAACTTAAGCATGCAAAAAACAAGCACATAGAAGGTATATAAAGATGATGATTACCTGATAAATAGCATCATGCAACTATCTTCACGTCTTTAAGATTTTTGCCCTTTTTATTATCTTTTATTGTATTATTTGAACTGCTTTATAAATTAGGTTAATGTTACTGGTAATGTGCATTTACCATAAGATTAGACTGACCAACATTACACATTTTCTTTCTGTGTTTTTGTCACATTTACATAAATTGTTTATGGAGTCAAGTGTGCCAAACAAGTAGTGCTAAAGAAAACAAAAAAAAGGTGAGATGATAAAATGTAATTGAAGCTACAAATATTCACCGTCTGGGTTCAACCACTTCTTCTGTTACATAGTTGAGGAAATTCCAGCCACTAAAGGCGAAGGATGCCTGCAGGAAGGCCAGAGCGATCTGTCCAATGGATGGTATCCTGTTTATTGAAAAGGCAACCTGAGGAGTCAGTGCCTCATAGTTTCCTATCAAAAAACAACACTAGTTTATTTGGAGCTTTAAATCCTGTCTATGCAGAAAAAATAGGTACCAAAAGTGAAAGATTTACCTTTACTGATCTGGACCAGACCCACAACAATGATAAGGCCCAAGGCCATAAGTTTTCCCACTGTGAAAATATCTTGGATCCTGGTAGCCATACGGACACTACAGCAGTTCACCCAGGTCAGCAATACTGAAAGACACATTTATTTAGCACCATTACTATACATTTTTAAGTTCTATCATATATATTTTATCCTTTATCCTTCACTTTTTTTTTTTCTTCACGTGTATGCACAGAAATACGTTTTTAACATATTGATTTTGGGACCAGATCTACAAACATTCTTCAGTAAGATAGTTAAATAAGTACTTTTATTTTGAAAAATCTCTCAGATACCTTTTCATGGTATCTAATAATGGAAACTTGGGGGTAAGGGGCTGGTGTATATTTTCAGTCAACCCCAGAGGGATTCAGGAGCAATTTCTGCCTAAAAAGATACAACTGACATACATCAAGAACAGTTCCACATTTACCAGGTCAACATGTAACCGTTTGGCACCATTTGTAAAAGTAAGAGATAAAAGAATATTTTTCCAGTGGAACCACTAGCCATCTTTAATTATTTCTGATTTAGTTTTTACTTAAAGTTATAGAAGACGATCTTTTATTTCCAGGTGGATCATCTAAATAAGTGATCCTCCCAATTATCATTCATCATGGTGAAATGTTTACATAAGGTCATCCTATGTGCTCATCACATTAGTTGTCTTTTTTGCACATGCGCACTTTCAGGTGCATATTTGTGGTGAGCTACGGTTTCAGACAGTCATTGAAGCTCACATTTCTCACCGCGGTTCTTTGAAAATGGCCGAGGTTTCGTAAGAGAAAAGTTTCGTAAGGCCTCGGAAGTGGCAGATATATCTCAGAAAGATTGCACAGGCACCACGCAGTGAAGGAGGAGTTACGTGAACAGTGGAGCAAAAAGCAGTGATCATCTTTCTAAACGGTCAGATAACTGAGTTTGCTTTAAAGTCCACTATATAGTTTCCGTTGTATGTTAAAATGGTAAGCTTTAAACAGGGGGTGCATCGGGAGAAATGGGTTCGTGTACGCTCTTGCATGCTAATTTTTTTTTTTAAGTGGAGAAGGCAGGTCTTTTAAAAAATCCTCCACAATACATTTAAACAAGAAAAAAAAATAACTTTTTTTTAGCTTAACCTAAAGATATTTTTCAAATTAGAAAAAACAAAACAACCTAAGAGTGCTTTTGAAGAGTTGTTGATTTCCTTGGTAGGGTCCTTCTGCCTATCACAGAGCTTTTTGTTATCTCATTTAACCCATAGACACAGAGGTTTTACACTTGAATACTGCTTTTATGGGCTGCTCTGTGGAGCAGTGGGTGGCACTGCTGCCTTGCAGCAAGAAGGTTCTGGGTTTGATTCCTGGCCCGGGTCTTTCTGCATAGAGTTTGCATGTTCTCCCTGAGCATGCATGGGTTCTCTCCAGGTACTCCGGCTTCCTCCCACAGCCCAAAAACATGACTGTTAGGTTAATTGGTTTCTCTAAATTCTCCCTTGGTGTGAGCGTGAATGGTTGTTTGTCTCTGTGGTGCCCTGCGATGGACACGGGACCTCTCCAGGGTGTACCCAGCCTATCACCAGTTGACACATGGAGAAAGGCACTAGCACCCCTCGTGACCCCACTTGGAATTAAGCATGATGGAATGGAATGGATGGATGGATGGATACTGCTTTTATAACCGTGTTACACACGGAAACTGTAACATCTAACAATGACAAAAAAAAAAGACATAGAATAGGTTTGTCTCATGGTTTGCACCTTCACAGGTGTAGCTCATGAGACTCATCTCCTGGGCTGTTTAAGAGATACAAGCCATTAGTCACTCTTGACTGGAGCGTTGACATCATATGCTAGTGTCCAGTCCCCCAGAGCACTAAGTTCTTCTTTGTGAGCTTTAAGTAACACTGTTGTGTCTACTTTATCTCTGAGAGCCTCCACTTTGGAAATAACGGTGATCTAGCAAGTCAGTCCTCATACTCATGAGTGTTCCCTCTAGGTTTCACCGTCTCACAACTGGTAAGCACTACTCTTGCACTGTCTGCACACCCACGCATTATGAAGCCGTCTTTTCTCATAGCTTCAACAGTCCTAGCAGAAGAACCTTCTTGTTCCCACAGATCTCCAATTACAAACCCCAGACTCCATTCACCTCTTCCTGGTGGAAAACCAACTACACTTTAAAGTAAGACAACTGACTGTTCTACCTCAGTTACCTCAACCTCAGTTTTTCTCATTAAAGCCGTTGCAGTTCAGGTCTTGAATTATTCTCCACTGTTTATGAAAAAATAATAAATTCGATCAGATTTTTGGTGTCTGTCTGAGTGTTTCTCTGCATGTGTGTCAGAAGCATAAACACAAATATGACAGAACACTAGAACACCACAGTCTCCACCACTTCAGCATCCTCAGGTTTCATTCTCTGGTGAGTCTTTTCTCCCTCACCAGATAAATTCTCCATAGGTGAAGGCACTGGTCCAGACTTTCTCCTTCAGTGCTTTCTAGTTTCTTGTATTGTATGTAGTTTCTTGTCGGCCTACAGTCTTTTTCATCAAATGCTAAGAAGATAGCTTATATTATCGGGCTTCTTAATGGCAGAGCTTTAAGATGGGCTGAGGCTCATGACTCAGACTCAGTTTTCTGGTCCTGAGTATTTAGGACCCAAAGAAAGGGTCAGAGAACAGTAGCTGACTTCTCTGTTACTTTCTACACAATAGCTACTTGCCTTGGTTGGGACTCCAGAGCTTTAAAGAGTGTTTTCTTTCCTGCCTTTAGCAGTTCTGCAAAAGATGATTTAGGTCTAGTGAAAAAGCCACATTCTTGGGTGATTTTATTGCCTAAGCCTTTCGAAT